AGGGGTAAAACCGTCGTGCATCCGCCCGTCCTAGAAGATCGAAAGTTCCGCCTCGCCCTCATGTGCCTTTTGCCCCAAGTCTCCCTGCACGACAAGTCCGAACGATTTCTTTTTCCCGTCTCTCCACGTTTCAAATAAATTCCCTAGAACATGCCCTCACCGCCAAACCCCTCCGACTCTTCTTCTCTCCGCTCAACCTCGTCTTCTTCTTCTTCTTCGTCCTCACATACCAACGTCTCCAACCGACTGACTCAGATCAGGAATCACACCATGGGTTCTGCGTCAACCGATACCCCGCCGACTCTGTTCGACGCCAATGTCGTCCCCCAAGCTCCTGAGGACCCTTTGTTCGGGTTGATGGCAGCTTACCGAAAAGACAACTTCGAGAAGAAGGTAGATCTGGGCATTGGCGCATACAGAGACAACAATGCCAAACCCTGGGTGTTGCCTGTAGTCAAGAAGGTGTGCCCATCCATGATACTCGACGGTGTTGTCGATGCCATGCTCCCAGGTGGCTAACCCTAGTCCAGGCTGATGAGATCCTACGAAATGATCCCAACCTCAACCACGAATACCTCCCTATCGCAGGTCTCCCAGAGTTCACTTCAGCGGCACAGAAACTCATTCTTGGTGGAGATAGCCCCGCGATTCGAGAAGGACGGGTACGCAGTCAAGCAAATTCTCACGTCTTTACTTTCCCCTGTGCTGACATACAACCTCTACTTTACAGGCCTGCAGCCTCCAGACCATCTCAGGAACCGGTGCCGTCCATCTCGGTGGTCTCTTCCTTTCCAAATTCCTACCGAAACCGACCCCTGCCATCTACCTATCCAACCCGACATGGGCCAACCACAACCAAATCTTCACCAACGTCCAACTCCCAATCAAGTCCTACCCTTATTTCTCTGCAAAGACAAAGATGCTTGACTGTGACGGCCTTCTCTCGACCTTGAAATCCGCACCTGAAAGAAGCATCATTCTGCTGCATGCCTGCGCACACAACCCCACAGGTGTCGACCCGACGCCGGACCAATGGAAACAGATTGCCGAAGTCATGCGCGAACGCAAACTATTCCCCTTCTTCGACTGCGCATACCAGGGTTTCGCCTCTGGGGATCTGGCACAGGATAACTTTTCGATCCGTTATTTCGTGGAGCAGGGCTTCGAGTTGGTCATTGCTCAATCCTTTGCCAAGAACTTTGGTCTGTATGGTGAGAGAGCGGGTGCATTCCATTTCGTGGCAGCTCCTGGGGCCAACGCACAGGATGTGGCCAAACGTGTCTCGTCCCAACTTGCCATCCTGCAACGTTCAGAAATCTCGAATCCACCAGCCTATGGTGCACGTATTGCTTCCCTCATCCTGAATGACCCACAGCTTTTCAAAGAGTGGGAGGCCGATCTGCGCACCATGTCCGGACGTATCATCGAGATGAGAAAGTCCCTGAAAGCCGAACTTGACAGGCTAGGCACCCCCGGGACCTGGGACCACATCACGAGTCAGATCGGCATGTTCAGTTTCACGGGCATCACCGAGAAACAGGTGTTGGCAATCAGGGAGAAGTGGCACGTGTACATGACCAAGAACGGGCGGATTAGCATGGCTGGGTTGAATACAGGCAACGTGCACTACTTTGCCGAGGCTCTCGACGACGTGGTGAGGAACGTGCAATGAAGTCAGTATGGTTGATGGTGGACGGTTGACGGTTGACGTATGAGACGAGCTGAAATGGACATCAAGACAATGAGAAGATGCAGGAATGGATGCTAGTCACGATCTGTTAATACGAAGTGGCTATTGAAGCAAGGGTGGGCAATGCAGGAGCAGGACAAAATACGAAACACAGGTGATCGATGCTTGAACTTGCACAGGGAACATAAAGACGGCCAGTCAGTCACGGAGATGGGAGCTTTGGAAACTGGGGAGTTTGCATCCTGGTAATGTTTTCCTTCCATTTTCTTCCTCAAGTCAGAAGAACACAAAAGGCACAAGGCACAGAGGCACAAGATCTGGATATTGGCATGCAAGTGTGGAAGAATAACGAGCGGCTTTGGAGGGAGAGGGGGAGCCCAGCAAGGGTCATAAACAGTCACGCCGGTACCTCTACCTCCCTCTCTGTCTTTCTGTCTCTGTCTCTGTGTTGGACCTCGACCGACGCCTCGGGTGTTCTTTCCTCTTTTGTCTTTTGTTTTCTTCTCTGCAAATGGATATGGATATGGGTAAAACTACCACAAACGAGCTACAGTTACAGCCACTGCTACTGCTACAGGGTGCACGGAGGACCTCAATGCCAATGCACGCCCAGTAAAAAACAATGAGGGAGAGTGAGCGTGAATCGTGCAACGTGCAGCGTGCAACAACGACAACAAGAAACAAGGTGAAGGTGAAGGTGGATTATCCATCTCTGGTCAAGTTTGCTTGAGCATGCATACATTCATGCATACATGCATGCTGCATATGCACGTCGTTTGTTTGACTGTTTGACTTCTTGTTTGCTAGTTTGTTTGCTTGATATTTGCGTCTCTCTCACGCCTACTCCTACCTTCCACAGGTGGAAGCGGGCTCCCTTTTCCCCGTTTCGTACAGCTGCCTCTCTGTTTGCCTGCCCGATTGCCATTGCATTTCATCATGCACTCAAAGACTGAGGACAGCATTTTCTTGGATCGGACTGGACTGGACTGGACTGGACATTCTGGTTTGTATTTGGTCTCGTTTGTGTTCATTCATTCGTTGCTCTGTTAGCGAAAAGGAGGCAAGGGGATACACAAAACTACGCCTTACACGCACACACCCCCCATCCTTGCCGGCTCCCCTTTCCGACCCTTTCTGTCCTTGCGATAAGGCTTACAGTTGTGACCAGTTTGACTCAAGATCCAACATGCAATGATCCCTTCCTCGCTTTTCCGGAGTAAAGGCCCAGCAAACGCCGCTCCGCCTTCGGACAACTGTCACTAAAAGCTCAAAGATGGGAATCGAAAATCATGGCCCAGGCCGTCACGCCCCCGGCATTCTCGCCTTGAGCGGGCCACCCTAGAGCGTCGACACGGCCCTTGCCCACGACGATCTCCTCGACGACCCGGAATCCGAAACGCTCGTACAGCCGCACGGCTTGCGGCGTCGTGGCCTCTAGCCATGCAGGCACGCCTTCGGCCTTGGCGCGCTCCAGGAACGGGGTCATGACGGCGTTGATGCTGCCCGGGACGCGGGGCCTTGCAGGGTTCCGCGCCAGGAATGAGAGGTGGTAGAAAGGGCGGAGTGGCTGGTCTTGGCTGTCCTGGGCGTGTTGGTGGTCGGAGCTAGAGTCTTCAGACACTGAGCCTGACGGGGTGTTTGAGGTCGATTCCTCCGCGTTTGCGGCTGCAGAGCTGCTAGAAGAAGAGGACGAGGGTGCCGCTAAATATGTCTGCTTCGCCGACTTGACTCGGGCTCTCCATTCGCTCAGCAGCGGGCCCGGTCGCGCCTTGGAGTCTATGAACGGTTTGCCCTGGTACGTGGGCGTCTCCCACAACGCAATGGCAGACCAGTCCCCGGCTTGGACCAGCTCAGCCCCGGAAGCGGCACTCTCGAGGATCCCCTGCGAGAAATGTCTCTGTCGTCGAGCAGTGTCGATCAGTGGGGAGGGAAACGGTGGTGGTGTGCCGTCGATATCTACGATGAACGCTGTGGTCAGGGCGGTGCTGGAAAAAGCCGCCGTGATGATGGAAATGAAGTTGGAGACGTCGTCAGCATGTGAATCCGTGGCGATGGTGACGCAGGTTGGGGTCGAAGTTGAAGAAGACATGTCTTGAATCCACAGAATCGCGGTTGCTCCGAATCTTGCAAAACGAATGGTTCTTTTCTTCTCTACTCTACGAGATCTTCGTCTCCGTGAGCAGGCACACTTTATTGTATTGTTCCTTTTGTTCTCTCTGTTGGTCTTTGTTTCCGAAGGACTCCTGTGCGTAGTGGAATGTCTCGGGCAAGGGCAAAGGCAAGATCAAATCGTAAATCGTAGAGCAACCATAAGAATACAACACAAAGGTGGAACACGGGAATGACAGACTATTAAGGCAAAGCAGGAAATTTAGAGAACAGGAGGAGAAGAAGGGGGGGAAAGGAAACCTGTTGCGGTGAGATGAAGTATCACGAGGGACGACGTACAAGAGGAATGTTGTGTAAAAACAAAAGGCGGATGAGTCAAGGAAACGCCCCCGTCCGGATGTTCAGTGTGTCCGATGCTAAGCGGCCAGGCGGGAATCCTCCTTTACCTCCCCTTCCAGCTTCCAGGGTCTGTTTTTTTTTCCCACCCTCTATTTCCCCCCTATGGGAGGCGATTAAATGGTCATATGTAATATGTAATATGAGGTAAGGTACCTACCTAGGTAAAGCTGGGCTTTCCTTTGTGCTCCTGCCCGCCCTGTGACGAAGGACAAAGTGCGTACATGCGTGCGGCGGAACACTTTCCACACTACCCAACGTGACATCGCGGTCGGGGTGGCTGATCGGGGTCTCTTCCAGAAGAGGTTTTGATATGGGGTAAGAGAAACCGGAATCATTGGTCCCTTTAACAAAAGTGTTTTCTGTTCTGTTCTGAAAAAAAGTTAATGAATTACAAGGACATTGGTTGGAAGAGCGGAAAGGGAGGAAAGAAAGGAGGGGGAAAAGGAGTCACGAGGACTTAATATATTGATTTGCCTGAGACAGATGGTGGATGAAGGAATATACGAGGTATGTGCCCTCGTTAAAGTCCCATGGATGGCTGCCAATAGACCCGAATGAGCAATGTCTAATGTAGCATTTGAGTTCGAGAGAAGGTGCAATTGTTTGAGAAAAACAGAACAGATACAAAGTACAACCATTTATGCCGAGTGCATCAACTATCCAACTCATTGGCCAGCAATGAACTACGCCATGCCCGCGCACGTATTCCTTTTCCTACCGAGAATCCTGAAAGACGTCCGAAAGACTTACATTTTCCTGTTAGCTAGCGACCATGGTTTGAGACATCACGAGGTGAAGAACATCAGCCATTTGATGTACTTCTCCTTTTTGGCTTGTCGCTTTGCTCGCTCGGCTGCTCGCTCTGCGGCACGGGCTGAGGCTTGCTGGTCGCCATCTTGTCGAGTCTGGCGTCCTTGAGATTGGTAACCTCCTTCGGAATACGCACGGCGACGATTGCTATTGTTAGAGCCTTCCGCTCCTCGAGAGCCATCTTGGTGGTGTGAACGACGCTGCGAGTGCGACACCGGATCTTGCTGAGGTGCTCGTGATCCACGCTGCGAAGGTCGATGGTCAGAAGCTGGTCTGCTGCCTCTCTCACTGTGACGGCTTCCGGGACGCTGATCATATTGCGGTGCGTTTCTGCCTTGTCGATAAGCGGAAGGTGGATGTTGCGGGCGGCTCGGTCTGGTAGAATCTCTCACTAACCATTTCTTCCCGTTTTTATCAACGACCTTCCTGACTTGAGGTTTTTTGGCCTGTCCGCCTCCATGTGCGCGGTCATTTCCTTGGGGTGTTGTCTCCCGCCTCTCTTCGTGATAAGGCATTGTGGTAGACGAAATTGCACAAGCTGTACGTCCTTGGAGGAAAATGCTGATTGTTGTGTTTTAGATGCGTGTACTTACCTGGCTTACCTGGAATCTGGCAGTTTGCTTTGATGGTTTGGTGCACGTCAGCCATGGTGGCAGGGCTCGCGACGCATTTGTAGTCGGAGGCCCTCCGGAACAAAGACCCTTGTGCCTTCCAGCTATGTATAAACAGAACAAAGACTCCAGAGCAGCAGAAGACAAGCGACAGGACAAGGGACGAAACATATTTTTACCACAAACCAGGGCTGTGGAGGACAACAAAGGCTGATTGATGAGCGTAGGAGTTGGTGGTTGAGGTGCTGAGGACACCACGTCCTTCATTGTTCAAATCCATTTCGGCCTGCGGCTGCACCTCTCACAACAGCAAGCCGATCTATGACTTGATCGGAAGAGATCCGCAGATAGACATTGACAAATTGGCGATGTCAAGCAAATAATCAAAGACGTGATGAATCGTGGAGGACGAGGTATGTACTTCCGAGCGCAAATGAATAGCCAAGTGATCAACCGGACCATCAGACACGCAATCTCACAAACACCGATCACACCGAAATGAAACCCTCATACTCGTGTCTCGTGTCAGGACTCCCATTGAAAATTACTCCCTGCTTCTTCTGATAATTTTTGAACGGTTTTTGCACTGCCTTGGTGGCTTTGTGAGACCTTCAACGCCGTTCACTCCACAAGGTGAGCAGTTACCCCAGTACTTTATCAGGAGTAACGAGCCAGCTGGAAAATTCCATGTATTTCTGGACCTGGATGCATTGGAGGGAACCACAGTGGATCACGGCCGCATGGAGCTGTTTCAGAGCTTGTATCAGACTCAAGCCAAATCAGCCATGGCGCAAGCCACAACCGTCTCCCATGCTCTTTTCGGGGCCAGTGTTCAAGTGCAGGAGCGGGCTTTTTGTTGGCGATGGCCGATGCGACGCAGTGTGATGACTGGGCCACTGACGAGTGGGCTTGAAAGGGGCTTGCATTTTTCGCCGAAAGGAATGGAGTGACTGGGGTGACTGGTTAGAAAAACTTTTCTGCCCGTCAAATGAGGGCCACCGAAATCTCGGAATCTCACCCGTTTTCCCCAGTTCTTGACCAGGGGGCGCGTTTACGAAACAAAGGGCTTTCGTCATGCGACTCCAAGGGAGTACAAATTTGAACGACAGAGGGAAAAAAACATTGTTTGCCCGCATTGGTGGCGTGCTGTTGACTGCTGGGGGATCCATGAAAAAAATACCTGGCTTGCTAGATGCGCAGGTACCGTTGCATCAATCGAGTAGAATTGAGTACACTCCATACCGTACATACATGCATTGCAATCCCCATCGATCCTCCGATTCACGATTCCTTCACTTTCTACCTCATACCTATCTTTCCATTACTTCAATCCCTGTCATTAATTGCACTCGCTTGACTGATTTTCGAGACTTGTTATTGAGTATTTGAGGGTGCTAGTCGTCCGTGTCAACATCCTTGTCGATCTTGTACAAACACATCAATTTTTCTTATTCCTCCTTTCTCAGATCGCCCTCGCTTGTACCCCAGTTCGCTTCTTCTTGAAACTGGGTTCCGATCTCTAGCACTCGTCCGCTTCTCTCAGGTAGAGTACGCGTACAAGTTTGTTTGGGATCTTCATCATTTCACCCGCAACACAAATACCCGACAAAATACTGCCGGTACTGTTGCCCACATTCTTTCACTTCCCCTTGGGCCCTCGAGTGACATAGCTTGGCGGCATGTCACAGAACAAGAGGTTTTCAAGAGAGGGGTTTCAACCTTTAACCCATCACCCATCACGGGACATGGCAAACCCTAACGACGTTACGATTGATATTCCCTTGACCAAGGTCAGCACCTCTGGCAGCGCCACTGGGGCACGCAAGGCCGATGCTCTTTCTCCTTCTGCTTCCCAGTACAACGGCGAATTTTCAGAAAAGATGGACGAGAAACAAGGTCACCACTTTCACAGAGGCCCAGCAGGCAGGAGAAGAAGGTTGGAGGATCGAGGACGGCAGAGCCAGGCCAAAGAGGATGGCACATTGAATGCATTTGGCAGATTCTACAAGCGAGTCTACAACTTTTCCGTCTTGACCCGCTATTTCATCTATGTTGCACCGCTCGCTTTGGCAATCGCAGTTCCCATCATTGTTGGGGCTACGGTCGCCCCTCGAGCACGCATCGGCGGCGTCAAGATCTTGTGGTTCTTCACCTGGATCGAGGTGGTCTGGGTATCACTATGGGCTTCGAAACTGGTGGCTCATTTCTTACCATTTCTCTTTCAGTTTATTTGCGGGGTGGCCAGCCCTGGCACAAGAAAATATGCCCTCGTCCTCAGCTCTCTCGAGATACCTCTCTCGCTCGTTGGCTGGGCCGTCACATCACTGGCAACGTTTGTCCCTATCATGACATTAAATCCTGACCAGAGATCACGTGGTGAGACTGGCCTCAAGTCTTGGGAGTCCATCATCAAGAATATTCTCTTTGCCTGCGTCTTCTCAACGTTGCTCTTGCTCGGCGAAAAGCTGCTTATTCAGCTCCTTTCCATCAGCTATCACCGCAAGCAGTTCGATGAAAAGATTAAAGACTCGAAGCGAAACATCCACCTGGTTGGTTTGCTCTACGATGCTTCTCGAAAGCTCTTCCCGGAGTACTGTCGAGAATTCGCCGAAGAGGATTATCTCATCAACGATGTTCTGGACTTTGGGGAGCGACATAGCAATCGGAACAGCATCTTACCTGGTCACAAACGATCTGGCTCGGCCACCCCTATGAAACTCATCCACAATGTTGCACGGGTTGGAGACAAGGTCACAGCAGCATTTGGGAATGTGGCCCAGGAGATTACTGGGAAGAAGGTTTTCAATCCCACTGCCTCGCATTCAATCGTGGTCCAAGCGCTCGAAAAGAAGCATTCCGCCGAAGCCTTGGCTCGGCGGCTTTGGATGTCGTTCGTCCTAGAAGGGAAGGATGCTCTGAGCCTGGAGGATATCATTGACGTCCTAGGTCACGATCGAGAACAAGAAGCCCACGAAGCCTTTGAGATCTTGGACGTGGATTGCAACGGAGACATCTCGCTAGATGAAATGGTCCTGCGAATCACTGAGTTCGGACGAGAGCGTCAGTCGATCGCGAGCAGCATGCACGATGTCGATCAAGCCATCAATGTCCTTGACAACCTGCTGTGCACAGTTGTCTTTGTCGCTGTTATCTTCATCTTCGTCGCCTGGCTGAATCGGAATTTTACCACCACACTCGCTACAGCAGGAACTGCCCTCCTGTCAATGTCTTTTGTTTTTGCAACAACGGCTCAGGAGGTTCTGGGGTCTTGCATTTTCCTTTTCGTGAAGCATCCATTCGACGTGGGCGACAGAGTCGACATTACCGATACCCAGTACGTGGTGGAACGCATGTCTCTTCTTTATACGGTCTTCCGCCGCGTCAAGGACCACAAACGGACCCAAGTCCCCAACATCGTGCTCAACTCGCTATGGATTGACAACGTGTCTCGCAGCAAAGCCATGCGCGAACAGATTCAGCTGTATGTCAGTTTCGACACCAAGTTTGAAGACATTGATCTGCTCAAGAAGGAGATGACCAACTTTGTGCGGGACAAAGATAATGCACGCGACTTCCAACCGGATGTCGACATTGAGGTTACCGGGGTTGCGGAAATGAACAAGATGGAGTTGAGGATTGAGATTCGGCATAAATCGAATTGGGCAAACGAGGCGGTACGAGCAGCGCGGAGGAACAAGTTTATGTGCGCTCTGGTCCTGGCCGTGCGGAAAGTTCCACTCTATGGTCCAGGGGGTGCCGGTCCTCCAGCTGGTGACAAGGCTAATCCTACCTACTCCGTGGCGATCAGTGACGAAATCGCGAGGAGGAACAGAGAGGAGTTTGACGAGAACCTGGATAAGAAGAGACTCGTACCCTTGCTGGACCAGAACAAGCCTCATCTCGACCTCTCCAAAACAAAATCTTCCGACCACCTCGGCGTCAGCACTGGAACCGACGTTAATGAAGCGTCGGCGGTTGACAACTTGGTGAAGCGCAAGGTGGCCGTCGACCCTGAAGAGGTTGTCGATCATGAGCGAGAACTCCGGATGGACAAGAAACGCTCCAACGACGTTGAAGAAGTACGCGACATTCTCAGACGCGAGTCTACCAGGGGTCGGCGTCGGGCGGCTCGCCACAGCGGCCTCTCAGTTCCCAGCATGGAGTATGGAGGAGGCTCGCGGACCATCCCTACGATCCCCGATGCATCACCGCAGGAGCCCATGACTGCGACGCTCTCGGCGCCAGCCAGGGTCAGTTACTTTGAAGACGTGCCGCAACCGGAGCCGATGCCTCCGGCCGTGTCACAGGGTTGGACGACAGTAACACCACTGAACTACAGCGCGCCAGCGGCCCAGCCACCCTCGCCCCAGATGTCCCCGGTGTCGAGCACGGCCAGCCCGTCCCGATATGTCCCCGGCAACGCCTTTTCGCAACGAGCTCATGCCACGTCGCCGATCCATCGAATGCCCGTGCCGGGAATGCCTGAAATGAAGAGAAATTTGCAGACGCCAAACGGGTCTTCTCCACCCAGGTGATTTGCTAGAGAAACATGGAGAGATGATACGATTACAACCAGCCAGCCAGCCAGAGTCTGGCACCAAACCTGACTCAAATCTAATGAACATACAAACCAAAGCTCTGCTGCATATGGTCGATCATCCAGGATGGAACTATGATTTCTTCCGCCGACATGGTCGACCACGCACGGCAAGCTCTTTTTCCAGGGATGCGAATCTTATCTAGATGATATTAGTGGCTCATGCTACTTTGTCAATGAATCGAGAAGATAGAATAGGATAGAGTTTAGTCGCCATTGGGCGTTTCTCAATCACAAGAAGAGACTAGACGTCTTTGGTAATTCAGACATTGAAAATGGTCATTTTAGGATGAGTCGACGTAGAAATACAGGAGTTGTGTCTAACTAACCAACTATTCCGATACCTGCCAGCCAGCCAGGGGGGAGAGTGTTGAGGTGAGGTGAGGTGAGGAGGAGATGGAGTCCATAACCTGTAAACCCACAACCATAACATGTTGGGA